AAAAAATATAATACATATATTTTATAAAATAAAATAAATTATTATTAGGTGGTTACCATACGATCTTTCCCAATTTTCATCGAGCTTATAATCGGTTAAGATAAAAAATTTTATTATTATTATTATTATTATTATTAGGTGGTTAGCAGCGCAGTTACAACGGATTACATCGATCGTTCGATGATGAAGATATTTTTAAAAAAATATTTAATAAATATTTTATATAAATTGTTAAAAAAATTATAAAATAAATATAATACATATATTTTATAAAATAAAATAAATTATTATTAGGTGGTTACCATATGATCTTTCCCAATTTTAATCGAGTTTACGATTGGTTGAGATTAAAAATTTATTATTATTATTATTATTATTATTATTATTGTTAGGTGGTTAGCAGCGCAGTTACAACGGATTGCATCGATCGTTCGATGATGAAGGTAAATATTTTTAAAAAAATATTTAATAAATATTTTTATATAAATTGTTAAAAAAATTGCGCCCTCCCCCCCTGCCCCGCCTCGAAATTAAAATTAAAATTCGATTAGAACTGTTGGAAGAGAACGGTTGGCGAATGCAGCGTTCCCGTTGCTCGAGAGATTTTGCGGGGAAAGTTTGGGGGGGGGGAGGTGGCCGAATCCCTGGAAACCTCCCCCCCCTTTGTCCTTAACCGGCCACCTTAACCGTGCACTTGTCGCTGCGAGGTGCGGGGCCGGTGTTGCGTAATGCGAATACCGTGTCGCATTCCGCGCCAACTCGGAGGAAAACCCCTTCTTTATTCGATTAAATAAATTGGGAGCGATTACGTGGACCAGGCACCGGCTAATGGAACTCGATGAGCCCCGGTGATGAGCGGGGGTGGGTAATTAATGACCCGATTCCCTTGTCTTGTATTATTCTTGGCTTCGTTTTTTCTTTCCTCTCGAACGAAAGTATCGACGAATGGTCTTTGTGAAAATTATATTTTTGAGGAACAGGTTTATATTATTATACCATCGTTTCGATGAGGAGGAGATTTGAAAATAAATATGTAGATAATTTAAAATAAGAAATAATAAATAAGATAGAATTATTATTAAGAATAATTTGAAATAATTAAAAATAGATAAATTTTTCTAAATTTTCTAAACAGTGAAAAGATTCGTCCATTCACACCGATATATTCTCGATATATATATTCTCGTGAAAAGCAGGAACAAATTTGGCTCGAAATCTTCTTATTCACTTCTTCCTTTCAATTATTATTAATCACTTCGATTAAAAAATTCAAAATTGTTTCCATTTTTCTTCAACGTCTTATTGTTAAGTAAAATTTAACAACAAGTAGTTTTTGTAGTTTGCAAAAACAATTTATTAAAACAATTATAATATATTTAATATATTAATAAATAAATAGACTTTTCTACTTTTATCTATTCCCGATTCGAGACAAATATGAATTTCCAAATTTCTCGAGTTTCTCTAGGAGAGAAGAGCTCGTAAGCGAGAATTTTCGTAGAAAATTCATAGTCGATTGCGGCCTGCGAGACGAAGGGGAGGACGAAGGGGATATCGCAAAGCGCGGTTTGATATTAGGCGA